GAGTTTTTCTGTGTGCTCAGGATGAGTTTTGCTTGTTCTCGCTGTATCGCCGACCCGGAAATCTGTCCGCTCCTCGCAGCAACGAGCCTCGCAATCAGAGCACACTGGGCTCACAGGGAGGGGGGGGGCAGGAGCTCCAACAAGCCGTTTAGGACAGAGAGTGAATACACATACAATACAGAGATGCTGTAATAGAAACCAATGTAATTTTGGAAAATTGCACAATTTAAATCTATTCTAGTAGACCTCAACAATGGAAATATGATCAGTAGAAATGGCCATGACATGGGCCCTTTAAGATTGGCTTTCCAGCAGTCATTCATATCGCATTTACTGAAAAAATGATATTTTAAAGCAAAGTTTAACTTTCATTTGGTCAAACCTTAGGAATAAACTGGTTGTGTCGGAATGTTTTCCGAAAAAGTTTAAACAGTAAAGTTCCTTTAAAGCAGCTTGTTTATACTTGTAGTTATTCCTCAGGCTTCTCCCATTTCCCAGTTTCTCCCAGCAGACAGGCTGGGCTTATTTTCCAGAGTCCACCCTTTTCCAATTCCTATAAATAGCAGCTGTTTCAGAAGGCAAACAATAGTTTGCAGGCTTTTCCGTTCATACATTCCTGGCACCGGTCCGAGGCGTCTCCGCCCACCGCTTGTTACTACCTGACTCATGTCCCTGCTCGCCTACTGTATAAACAGTCCTGCTAACACACATTGACACATTTTTGATCACACACACACACATTTCTGCATAATTTTGTCCCTCCTTCTATTCATGATAAATTCCAAAACTGATCTGAACAGACTGTATACATTTATTTTATAAAAAAATATTTATCGATGGTTCATGCAAACATATCAAACACTGAGCGTAATTTTCATATGGTACTGTTTTCAGACTTATAGTCAGCACACACACAACCGTATTGAATTAAATGAATCTTTGGGGTAACAAGATGGTTAAAGAGATAAAAACATTTCTAAATCATTGTTGCGATAGGGATTTGGTATTAAAAGATACAGGCAGAAGACATCTAGGGCTGTTTCAGTGGAATGGTATGCCTCTCAACCACTTGATTTATATTTTACTTTTCTCTTTTTTGGTGGAATAATGGCCCCTCAATGATCTATGATTATGAATATGAGAAGGGAAAAACAACGTGGTTAAACTGCTCAAAATTAATGTGCATTTATTAAGGTCATAACATGTGATGGAGGGGTTTCAAATTGACTCCAATTAACTTTAAGCTCCTAAACACCTAGTCCACGTTCACTGGTGTTTACACTTGCTGATTGGACGCATACAGATTGTGTCTGACCACTCAGTGTAAGTGCAGTGTGATTCACTTAGCTCCATGGTTGGATTTTCTTAAGCCCATGTACTCTCCTTTAGATTATTCATTGACCTCATGATGTTTTCCATTGAGGCCAAGAAAAATGATTGGCAAAGAAAAAGGACGTCCATTTTTGAAGACTCTATTTGACGGCAGCCCTGTCTGAATCATGGTCACTGTGGTGCTCTGAGCAATCTAGCTGGCTCAGATGTGTTTGAGGTTTTAAATCCTGTTGTGACTGAGTCTGAAGACCACTATTGTTACAAGTTCAAAGACTCCACCCAGATTAAAATTACCTCCATGTTAAATGTGTTGAAAGCACCTGTGTGGGAGTGCTGGGCCTTATACGCACTTAAAGTTACATTTGACTTCAGGAGTCAATGCCCCTAGCAAGCGCGCACACACACACACACACACACACACACACACACACACACACACACACACACACACACACACACACACACACACACACACACACACACACACCTGTTGCGGCTGTATAGGTTACGGGGTCTAGTTTCAAATCATATGAAACTCACATGTGTTAATTTACATTTCTCGTAATGCTTTTCATTGAGCTTTTATTGGTATACTTGTCTCAGTTTCAGCACATTAGCTTGGTGGGATTTTAACATGGGACACATTTTGTCAGATGAAAGCCTCTGTCAACCTGTCAGCTTTACAGTAAATGCTATGCTTCTCCCGGCAGGCTGACCATAGTGAGCAATATGTGGAAGTGTAGAAAGAATTTTTGTGTGGGAGTGATGGGCGAGAGGGAGGGAGCGTCTACGATTGATGACTACTTTGCATTGGACACCTGCCAAAATACGTCCTGAATCACAGTCAAACTGTAAATCCAGCAGCAAACATATATCATTTTTAATGTGGGTTCGTCTGTTGGTCCAAGGAAGTGAGACATAAATAGGGAATAAATAGTATTATATAATAATAATAATAATATATATCATATCACAACTAATGCAGATGATAATATATGTATCATACTCATTGAATTTCATTTAAAAAACTTGAGTGTCTCAATTGCTAACTCATCAAGAAAAATAAATAAAAAGTAAATGGATCAATAAATAGTTCATGTTCAGGCAGTAAAAGCATGTAGGGCTGCAACTCATTATTATTTTCATCATCAATTAATTTGACAACCATGGCTTTAGTCTATAAAAAAGATAAGATAATAGTGTAAAGAGTTTGTTGGATCAAATATATCACTTTAAAAACCATCTTGTCTGTCACTGTGGTATTTAAACCACTTTTTCAATAATCAGTTTGGTTCAAAAACACATTTCCCAGTTCATCAATTACCAGCTCATCTCGTTGACCTTTGCATGTCCTCATACTGCTGCTGCTGTTTGCAAAACTGAGCAAACAGCTGTGCAGAAAACCCTCAAAGCTTTACACAATATGTTTTTCACCCAGTGCAGTTCCACCCCATCATCATCACATTATGTGGTTACATTACATCATAACCGCCACAATACCTCATCCCAGACATGCCATCAACACGATAATTCAATAATGAATGTTGAAAAAAACAGCAAACGTCACAGTCTTTTCTACAACTTCGCCAAAGTGCTGATAAAGAAGGGCGTTAATGATTAGTAGCTAAATCAATTAGTCGTGCAAATATTTGGAAGTTGATTGTTAAAAAGGAAATGTCTTGGGAACACTGTCATTCACTTACAGATGAGGAGATTGGTGTCGTATGATCAATATAAAGCTACAGTCGGCTGCTAGTTGACTTAGCATACAGTTAGCATAAAGACTGAAGCTAATGCCAACCAAATCTGCATAGCATACCTCCAGAAGTCAATAAATAACATGTCTTTGCTTGTTTGTCTAATCCAAAACAAAGTATACTAATGATAATTTGAACTGTTTTCCAGTCTTTATTAAATCTTCAAACTCTTGGCAAGAAATAAATATTTCGCAAAAGGAGTATTCCAAACATTTGATAGCTCCAGTTTCTCAAATTAGTGTTTCCTGGTCCTAAAATTATAATACATTCCTGTATACAATTTAGGGATTATACATTTGAAGATGTTCCCTGACGTTGTAATTGTTGTCATTCATTGTCATGTTTGACTTTTTGAATGGAAATACTCGTGGGTAATTAAATTCCCTTTAAAATACTATCTCCAGCAAGAAATATCACATATTATATATATATATATATTAGGTATACAGTGACATAAACACAGGAAATAAACTAACTATTGCATTGGAGAAGTCTGAACAAGTGAACATTTGCCATAAATGTCCTAATGAATATTGTACATTTGTACATTGTATTAGTAATTTGAATAGTTGTGTAATCCTTTTGCAATAATGAATTATCATTATTTTAGCAAATAGCCAAAGCTAGTTCCAGTTTTAAACAAAATCCTAAATTGCAGCCCTGAGATTTAACGATCATCTCAATCTGCACCACAGATTTATAATCCCTGTAGGTCTATATTGTGGATAAATTATGCATCATAAAATGGCAGTGAGTCACTTTAAATCACCCACACACACACGGAGCCCCACAGGACTACTGTAGTGATTTTTCAAGTCAAATTGTGCAGACTGATGCGCCGCCGTGACTGCATCGCCGTGCATATGAGAGAGAGAGAGAGAGAGAGAGAGAGAGAGAGAGAGAGAACATAGAGAGAACAGAGAACAGTAATTGTGCGTGAAGGACCATGACAGTCCGGAGCGGCGGGAGTTAGGGGGAAACGAAACAAGAAGAAGCCTTTTAACCGGGACATTCACCTGCAGATGTAACCCTCAACACGCCGGCTACGGAAACATGCGATTTGACAGAGATTTCAGCGCCCGCGGTTCACGTGTGCCTTTCCAAACACCTTCAGGGAGTTTACATGTTCCTGCGTGTCGACGACGAGGCAATGTTTAGACGCAGACTATCGGCAGAAAAGCGGGGAGTTTTTAACGTGTTTTGTGGCTTGTGTAAGGAGAGAGATTCTTGAAAAAAAAAAACTGCGACAAGAAGCAACGCGAATGTAGTCTTCAGGAGGGAAAAGGCGAAACACCGTACCTGCTGCCACAGTGTCTTCCTGCTGCGGTCATCCTGCTCCTGTGTGTTTCGGTTTCTCGCAGTGCTGTGTGGGTAAAGTGAGGGGAGGATGCAGGTAAAGAAGCCCCGGGATTCGGACCAGAGCAGTGGCGACATGCTGGAAACAGACGGCCCCCGAAAAAACTCCTCATGCTTCTCAAATATCAAGATATTTTTGATATCGGAATGCGCCCTCATGTTGGCTCAGGGCACCGTCGGAGCGTACCTGGTGAGTGCTACAAAAACCGAGCTCCTGCGGGGCTGCCTCTGTTACTGCGACTCTACTGCGGGTCACATTCACATTGTGTCTTAGCCGGGTTTGGGCTCACCATATGGGGTTTATTTCTGCTGCTCTGCATGCTTTGGACTAACAACAACACGTAGCAGGGCAATGACGGGACATATAAACCTCTGTCCTTCTCAGTGAAGTAGCTACAGCCTGCAGGGAAGATGTCATGCTGCTAAACTACCCCTTATGTGTTACAGTTTGACAACATATATAAAGCTGCTTGTGTGCCATGATGTCCATTTTAATTTTAAGGTACAGCAATTAAAACAGAGCCCCTTTTTAAATAAGCCATGCAGTAGTAATTAAATGGTAACTTTACAGCTTTGCCTAGCATTGGTTATGATTGATAAGCATGTTTAAGAAGGCAGTAGTTGGATGATTTTACCCAAAATGTCAGTCAAGGTCAAGGACCCCCCTCCCATCCTTCTTACTTCCTGTGTCTACGCACTCTTTCACTTGAACTATTAACAGTGATCCAACACATGGAGCCGGTGTAACATGAGGTTTATTTAAATGTGTGATCTGTTTCTGTAAAACATCAATATGTGTATTTTATATGACACCGTTGCAATGAAAACCTCAAAACCCACAAAGATCCAAACTTATACAGAGACTCGTTATAATTTGTGGGACAAATCTCCTTGAAGTGCTCCAAATATTCCTTAAAAAGTCCCACAGCCTCAGGCAAACAATATGAACATTGAGTTTTGACATTAACTTGGCTTTATTCTTTAAGATTCATACTGTTTCATACTTGCAATGAATAGACTAAACCCTGAATGCCTTGGCCATATTTGGAGTGGAACATCTTATCTTCTCTGTCAGTGGACCTGCTGAGCATCATAGCCAGAGAACAGCGACAGCATGGCGGTGCAACTCAGAGTCAGTTAGGACAATTTCCTAAAGAAGACTTCCTCTTTATTGTGTGTTTCTGATGACACAATTGTTCTGCTTTTTATAGTTTTGCACACCTGTTCAAACAGTTTAAACAATAACCCAGGTCAGGTTAGGAATCATTTACTTCGGCACATGATGCTTTCAGGCCTACTTTTGTTCGTCAACACAACAGAGCTTATTTACATTGAGTCTTATCCTGCATTTCCATTACAGTTTAATAGCTGGGGCAGTAACTATAGTAACGCAGTGTAGGCGGAGCCGTGACCAGTATGGCGCATCGTCCAGAATTATTTTGCAAGATATCACTCAGACTCAACAATCATATGTACAGATGGCTCCAAAGATCCAGAGATGGGGCGTGCAGGGGCAGCAGTTTATATCCCAGTGATGAGTAATAACATCAATATAAAAAAAGGGATAACAAGACACATGCTGTACAGAATCACTACACCACATGAGTTGCTTTGCATGGTACCTGTTCATTGAAACTGATTTTTTTAGTGTCGATGATAATTGTTTTTATCTATTTATGTGTATTGGCATTTGGGGACTCAGTCNAGATGGCTCCAAAGATCCAGAGATGGGGCGTGCAGGGGCAGCAGTTTATATCCCAGTGAGTAATACACATATAAAGAAAAGGGGAACAGACCATGTGTCAGTATACACCACAGAGTTGTTGGCATGGGTACTGTCATTGAAATGGATAGAGGAGAAAGAAATACATAATAGTGTAATTGCATCTGACAGCTTTTCAGCATTATCGA